CACCACATTCGTGTTGTAACTTAGCTGTGGTTCTAGAATCATGTCTAATCATTTAGGTGGGAGCAAACCAAAATAAAAAAGTTACATTTATTTGGAAGAAAAAAGTAGTTCTGTGTTGGATAGTATATAATTATAGTATATAATTAGTGGACTAAAACAGAGTGTATATGTGAAGTGAGGCTAATGCGGAAGTGACTTAAATCTGCATTCTTTCTAATGGCCAGCTCCATGGGCTGCTAAAAAGGAATTGATAGAGAGTCTTATGGAAAAATTTGCCTACTTCTCACTTGATTTATTACCTCAATAAACAGTTTCCTAATGAGATTATGGCAGTGCTGATCAAATATGATTAAAGATTCTGTTATTGCGTTGACAATTTTTCAACTAAAATCTTTTCAGAAACATATTTTAGTGTGTGCATGTGACCAGGCAAACCACCACTGTTTCCTGCTACGGACGAGATTGAACTGCAGAGACAATGAGAGCAGATCAGCTCACAGTATGTCATCGCTTTCGGCTGCAAATAACAACATGGTGATGGCCATAATGCCAAAGTTGAGGCTACAAAACAATTCTCCGCAAATCAGTGAGTGATATAATGATAGGTTGGAACAGTAATGCACTGCTGTACCGGATGGATTTGAAAATCTCACTGAAATTGTGTGGAGTAAAGTAGGAAATGTGGAAAACAGAGCTTTTAGAAAACACTGACATAGGCATGGTTGAATGTGTCTGCATGTGTGGAGGTCCGGGTGGTTGAATAACATGTAGCTTGACATTCATGTAGGAGTTATCTATCTATTATAGCTATCTAGAGAGCGTCTGCAGCCCGGACATCGAGCTTGTCGCCGTCGGACTTCGTCCGTGTTGTCTGCCACGGGAACTTTCCAGTGTTGTCGCAATCACTGTCTATGTTCCTCACAGTGGTCTTCATCATCACCATCACTGTTTACATTTATGATGTCCTATTTATTCTCCTGTACAGCACTTTGGTCAACTTTGGTTGTTTTTAAAGTGCTTAACAAATAAAATTGGATTGGATTGGATCTATCTAGAACCAGTGTTCAGTTTCTCTGTTTGGCCGCTACCATGGCTCAAAAAAATCCAATGAAGGTACAGAAGAATAGAATAGAATATAATGTCTCCATTGTTTGGGACTGCAGTTCCACAGAAGACAAAAAACCCCACATACCGCACAATAAAAAAAACAAAAATCAATATCTCAGCAACACACTGCTTCCCAGTGACAGTTTGCACATAGATAAGATAAGATAAGATAAGATAAGATAAGATAAGATAAGAAGTCCCACTTTGTTGCCAGAATTGCATGTGTAACAGAAAATGTCAGAATTATATGTATGTAACAGTTCAGCCTGCTCTAGGGAACCCTGAATTTTCACACAATTTTCACAATTTTCTGTGCCTGTCTGATCTGCTCATAAATTCTTTGTTTAAGTATTTTTTAACCCTCATTCATTATTATTAGTATGTAGTGTGTGTATTAGTATGAGTAATTTGCGAATTTAGCTGTACAGACAAGTTACCATACCAGCCTGTTATCCCATATCTTACGATCCTCTCCAGGACTGCATTGTAAAAAAGTAACGTGAATGTCTTCTCAAGTCCAAACACCCTGAACCTACATTAAAAATACATCCACTGTTGCAATCTAGAGCCAGTGCAGTGCAGTCCAGCACAGTGTGTTATCAATGTGGACCCCAAGGTACTTGAGCAGACCTAAGTGATGTTTTCATTGTGTATGACCACCAAATTAAGATCGCCCATTGCCTTAGGATCAAAAACCATCTCCTCATTCTTTTTCACATACAAGATAAGATGGTTAGTATTGCACTGCTGCACAAATTTCTCTCGTTCAGAGTCGTAGACTGATGAACTGCTGTGGCTGTGCATTAGTCCTAGGATGGCTGTATCGTCTGAGAACTTAAGTAAGTTCTGGGGGCACCAGTGCAGATTTGTCTGGGCTCCGAAAGTTTTAAAATAAAACGATTAACACCAACAACATCTGTTTTCAGTTTCTGAATCAACAAGCAGTGTATTAAATGCCGAGTTGAAATCAGTAAGCGTGCATACGCATTAGGGTTTTCCAGGTGTTTAGTCCAGGGAGAACTAGTGAGCCATGTATTGTATTGTATAAGATAATTATTGTGTTATATGTGTGTACAGCTCCAGGATCAGTGTGATGTTTCCTGTCTTTTGTTCACAACAGTCACATAATCCTTGTTTGCACAGTGGTCAGTACATAGATCACGTCACACTTGTATGTTCACCTTGACTTTGCTCTCATACAGAGACAGCAACCTTTGTCTATACTACACACACAGACACACACACACACACACATACAGCATGCAATGTATATGCCCATACGTTGCGCATTGCTGGCAGCGAATGATGATGTGGGAAAGTTCATGTAACCTCTTAGTTTGGTCTGGATGTCTAGTTAAAGGTCAACATGCAGCTCTTCATCTGACACACCATCTGACACACTCCTTCTACTAAGAAATGATTGCAGTGGCCCAGGTTCAATTCCAGTCTTTGCTACATGTTGTCCTCCCTCTTCCCCCCTTTCCTGTTTTTTTTAAAGTTCCCCTGGAGTCAGAAATCAGTGTTTCGTCTTGTTCCTACAGTGTGGTGTGTGAATGCTGTATATGTGGAGTTTGATACTAGAAGGATGTTTTCACATTCATCTGCTGAAAGTGAAAAGTTTCTCTGTGCTCATTGAAAATCTGATTTTAAGGGGCGGGGCCTACCAGTAGGATTAGTGACATCATCCTGGTCCAGTATGCAACTCGTACAGTGTGATGTAGAAACCTGAAGCCACCAGTGCACATCCACTGAGAATGGACTTTACAGTTAAGTAGGAGACATCTTGTGTCCAGCAGGAAAACTGAAGAAAAGAATATATTGCAGATTCAGAGATTCTGGGCTTTTCAATGAGGAAGAAGGGGCAGATCTATTTAATCTCATCTCACTCTCTCACAATGAAAAAACATATCAGACATACATTATTGTTCCAAGCTGATTATTTGTATATATGTCTTAATACATGACTGGAGGTGATCTAAAAGAGCCCCAAAAATAATTTTAAAAAGTTCAGAATCTAGAATACATCTTTTAGAAAGTTCCATACTAAAAATGTAGCTTTTAAAAATGTCTTTTTAACAGAAAGGGTAAGTTTGCTCAGGTAGCCCAGAAGGCCAGCCATGTGCAACTATAATTTTGAAAGTGATTGTTCAAAACTGAAATACTGAAAATACACCAGCACCAGAAGCACATTTGTTCAAAATTGCTTATTTTTTGCACAATGTACCCTTACTGCTTTTACCCAGCTTGGATGTGTTTGGCTTTTAGTCACACCAGACTTTGCTTTTCACACCACTGCATGTCCTGCTGTATTGAGGACATATTCATACCTGTGCAATGAAGACCTTGATGTTATAGATGACATTCAATTAGTAGGGAAACCAGGTCAGATCCCCCTGTAAAGATGCCACCTGGTTCCCTGTCTCACATTCACGATACACACACACACACACACACAAATACACACACAGGTGGGAAAGATTTTTCCCTCTCCAGGGTGCGATCAAAAATCTGTCAAGTGCGACTCAACATTTTCAGTGGTCGCACTGGTGCACCTGAAATTTAACAGATCTGATCAAATGACAGGTGCATGGCAGCCTCCCACAAAATTCTGTATAGCTGTACCAAATAGATAAAATATCCTAAACATTAAATATAAAATTAAAATAATATAGTTAAAAATAATTATATTTCTTTGATTAATTGCTTTGTTCTTGCTAACAGCTTACATTCTCTTCATTCATTCTCTAGGTCAATCTCTTTCTTTCTCTCTCTCCAATTTTTAATCGTGTGTTTACAAACACCAACAAATCACGTTATTCAAATTGAGGATTTTGTCTTTTTTTTAGGGTTTTGACGACATAAAATATGATATCAGACATTCAAAGCTTCATTCAAATACCTCAATAGAAGCTTCAAATGTAGAAAATTGACATTTGGTACAGCTTTTGTGAGTTATTTGAGTTTAATTTATTTAATTTATTTTTTCCGTTTATCAGACACTTTCCAGTGAGAAACATGCATGTTTGACCTAAATGGAATGAAACTATATAATGGAATTATATAGTATAATTGGAACCACCTGTGTTTACTGTTCTATTTCTTGTCAAAATGGCTCCTGTGAAAAAGGTCTATTGGATGCACCTAATTTATATGCCAGTGTACCAGTGACAACAATGTAAAATGTTCAGGTCTGGAGCCCTGAATTGATCCCAATTAGAGTAAGCAGTAGGCCTACAGCTAGAGGTTATTATAATCATGTCAATACAAATCAAGCAAACATTTTATGAGTAACAGTTTGGGTTTGTAAGCCTACCTACATTTGCTTTTTAGTTAGTTTGAGTTAAATCACGTTGTATTTTTTGCCTTGTATGGACCTTTAGTAATAATTCAATTCAATTCAATTTTATTTGTATAGCCCCAATTCATAACAGAAGTTATCTCAGGACACTATTAGGACAATAATCAATTTCTTGTATTTGTGAGCAGACATTGAATAACTTCCCACAAGAGAAGCGTCCTGGAAACCACCGCCTGAGACACCTGTTTGATTGGTCTGTGTGCTTGGAACACGATTGGTTGATGAGGTCGATGCGGAATGAACGTGGCTCCTCCACAGACAGGCACGTTTATGCAGCGTCACCTGCGTCAAGTCAGAAGGAACGAGGCGACGGAAAAGGAGTAGCGAGTTGGCCGTACCTTCAACATTAAAGCACAAACCATCTTCTATGGAGAATGTGAGAGAGTAGTGGAGGATGAACATTGTAATAAAACAGTTTTTACTCATTGTGGATTAGCTGCTTCCTACATGTTAATTGTTCTCAATGGCCACGTAGGCTAATATTGCAAATTGTTGGTCAGGAACGATTTTACTTTAAAAGTTAGGGCCGGAAATGTAGAAATTCTACTTGAACATGAATGAACCCTGTCAGTGTTGATAGAGGAGTAACTTGTGCTGAGATATTAACTATGTACAGAAAAGTAGCCAGTTCATAACATCGTGTACGCGTCTACTGCCAGCCAGTGCAGCTTATTCTCCTCTCCAGGTAAGACAAACCGCTTGCTAGACGATCAGCATATGCCTTTAGCCCCGATACAGTACGGACCACCAAACCCCTCTGAGAAATATAGGAATTTAATTTTGACTTGGGAACTGGCTGAACATACTGTCATACTGAATATGATGAAGTACATAGAACAATTTGACTTGAATCACCTCACAAATCGGCAAACCCAATACACCAAGCACTACGGAATAGAATATAATTGTATTTAAATTCTTGTTCACTTGTCATTCTCACAAAGTTACATAACCGGGGGCTTGTATGCAATGTTAAATAATCGTGAGATATTACAACTACTGTGGTTGCTGTGCAACTGTCTGTCTGTCTGTCTGTGTGTGTCTCTCTCTCTCTCTCTCTCTCTCTCTCTCTCTCTCTCACACACACACACACAATTCAAATTCAAATTCAAAATTCAATTCAATTCAAAATGGCTTTATTGGCATGAAAGTTTAAAATATATATATATATTGCCAAAGCAAAGCAACAAAATACAATAAGTCGAAATATTCAGTCAATACACAATATGAAAGATATATACATTATGAATATTATATTAGTTATATACAGTGTGTGTGTGTGTGTGTCTGTGTGTGCACGTGTGCCTTGATCACTCTCTGTCCCTCAGGTTGTGGCATGTTAATATATACCGGGCAGCAAGGTGTGCCCGTTCTCCTCCTCCGAGGAGTATTTTTAATTTGGAGAGGTCGTTCAGCTCTTTGAAATCTGGAACCAAAGAGCTGAACTTGTTCAAATACATTTTTCTCGTGTCTTTTAATTTTGTACATTGTAGGAGAAAGTGCATCTCTGTCTCAACCTCACCTGTCGAACAGTGACCACATTTTCTGTTTTCTTTTGGTTGCCATGATTTTTTGTGTCTTCCTGTTTGGATTGGCGGTTTGTGGTCACTGAGCCTGTACTTGGTTAGGATCTGTCTCTGCTTTCTATCTCTGACAGTAGAGAGATATTCTGCTCATTCATAATCTCTTTTAAGGGCAAGATAACATTCCAATCTACTTTGGCTTTTAGTTGTTTCTTCCCAATGGTCCAGATAGCTTTCTTTACATTGTGCTATCATTTGCTTTACTCTGATTACAGTTTGTAGAGCAGTGTTGTTGTGAGGCTGGTCAGAGTGTGTCTGAGAGGGGGCAGTTAGCCTCAGTACCAACTGACATAGGGGACTCTTTTCTGGGCTCAGCTCTTGGGTTTGGAGGGCTTTGGAGTGGAGGGTGTCTCTGGGGCTGGATTTCAGGTGGTTAAAAAAGTTGAGTGTTCTCTTCTGAATGTTAATTATCAGTGGGTATCTGCCTAATTCTGCTCTACATGCATTTGTTGGTGTGTTTCTGTGTACGTGTAAAATGTATCTGCAGAATTCTGCATGTAGAGATTCTGTTGGATGTTTGTCCCAACGGGTAAAGCTCTGATGACTGAGTGGACCCCATACTTCACTACCGTACAGCGCAATGGGCTGGATGACACTATCAAATATTTTAAGCCAGATTTTTATTGGAATATGGAAATTATAAAATGTTCTCTTAATTGCATATAGAGCTCTTCGAGCTTTTTCTATTAGTGCATTCACTGCCATGTTGAAACTCCCTGATGCTGTTATGGTTATACCAAGGTAGGTATAACTCATGCTGTGTTCAATGACATGATTACTGATGGTAAATTGGTGTTTGTTCTCATGACACCTGGGGCGTTTTTGAAAGATCATGACATTGGTTTTCTTCATGTTTACTGCCAGGGCCCAGTTCTGACAGTACTTTTCTACTACGTCCAGCTGTAGCTGTAGTCCTTGTTCAGTAGGAGACAGTAGAACAAGGTCATCAGCATAAAACAGAGACTTCACCTCTCCATCTAGGAGGGAGAGGCCCGGAGCAGCACATTTATCTAACTCAACAGCCAGTTCATTTATATACACATTAAATAAAGTCGGACTTAGATTGCAACCCTGCCGAACGCCTCTTCTCTGGGGGAAGAAATCAGTTAGTTTGTCTCCAATTTTAACAGCACACATGTTTTCCAAATACATTGATTTAACCAGATCATACATTTTGCCACCATTTTACCACAGTTTAAAAGTCTGTAATAGAGCCCTTCATGCCAAATAGAGTCGAAAGCTTTCTTGAAATCAATAAAGCAGGTGAATATTTTTCCATTCTTAGTTTGTTGTACATGTTTGTTGATTATATATTATATTATATATTATTCTCACTCTCTCTCTCTCTCTCTCTCTCTCTCTCTCTCTCTCTCTCTCTCTCTCTCACCCCAACTGGTCGGGGCAGACGACCACCCACCTAGAGCCGAAGGATCTGTCCTAGGTTTCTGCCTCTGAAAGGCAGTTTTTCCTTCCCCCGTCGCCAAGGTCTTGCTCATGGTGGTACTGTTGGGTCTCTGTAAATAATGTTATAAGGAGTGTAAAAAAGTGAAAAGTGTCCTGAGATAACTTCTGTTATGCATTGGCGCTATACAAATAAAACTGAATTGAACTGAATTGAATATTATGGAAATAACGTTAATCGATTCGTTTTACATGTGTACCTTGGGTTGTGCAGCTAAATACAAACTGATGAGTTCTACCTTTTTGCTGCTTTACCAGTGTGTCAGTAGATGATTGTTAGCTAGACTAGTGGTTCACAAAGTGGTCACTGAGGGGGTTCCAGGGGTTCCAGGGGTCCCCAGCAAAAAGGGGAATCATTTTCACTATAATTCCATCCATAAGTACACAGTGACAGAGTTACTATTTTAGTCATGGATTTCATTCACTCTCTTAAATAAAAATAGTGCCTGACTGATGTGAATGTTTGAGCTAGAGTGAAAATAGACTAATATGACTATTTCAGTTCAGAAATCAGAAGGCTGCTTTCTTAAACAAATAACTTTGTTAAAGAATATTTAAGTTGAATATTCCAACATGTTAAATAAGTTTGTCAACTAGAGCTTCTTCCTTCTGTCTTACTCTGTGCTACTTGCCTATTGTAAATCACAGCACACTTTGCTGGATAATGTAAGTTAATGCCTGCTATTTAACAGGCACATTATTCAGGTAGTAAGATGGCTGCATAAGCGGCTAATAATTATAAAAACTGTATAATTAAAAATGGATGTAGTCTCTGTGACGTCACCCATAGGTTTGTGAGGGCCCTTGTGAAGCTCAGTGTGGTCGGCAGTCCTGACTCCGCCCTCTCCCGGCTAATCCAAAAATGAGCAAAGAGGTGGATTGTGGGTGGAGCTGAGGCGGGCTGAATGAAGCCTGGTTCCTGAAAACAGCTGCCTGTGACAGTACCCACTTGTCACTCAAAGCCGCTACTCCCTTAGTTATGCATGACTTTAAGCCTAATATAATATATATTTTAAACAGGTGAAATCTCACCCCCCCGTACAGTTGTCATGAAAGGAGAAATTAGCTATAGAGACCAAAAGTGTTTTTTGTACCAGGCTGTAAACATTTTTACATGGGTCCTTATGGAGATTGACTCACTTCTGTAGCCAACCTCAAATGGCTGTTAGTGGAACTGCAGTTTTGGTCATTTCATGTTGGTTTCATTTGCAGCCATGGAGAGGTTACAGCTGCACTCTTCATCCTCAGTTAAATACCAGTGCATTTGCTAATATGCAAACAAATAGAGTTGTAGACTGGGAGACATTAACCACTGAGCCCCCATGCAGCCCATGTGTCAGTATAACTGTTTGTCTGTCTGTCCTCTTAGGTTATCAATATGGCCTCATGGATTATTCAGATGAGTGTGATGGTGCTCTCTGTCAGCAGCAGCCAGGGCAAGAGGGACAAGGTACTCTACTGTTCTGGTAAGTTACCAGTGCTTTGACTGAATGATTTGACTAAATGAAATATTTCAGAAACACTTGAATTGCAGTCCCTTCTGCTGGAGGGTAGCAAAAGTATGTGACCATTTCTCTCCATTACTTTATTTAGCTTAGACTTTTATCCAAAGTGACTTACAGTAAGTGCATTCAACTGGAATGAGTTTTTAGTCAGCAGCAGAATGTGTGTAGAGCATGATTTTGATGAGCAGGAGTAGCTGGGCCCCCCTTATAGGGAAGGAGTTGCAGATCTAAACAGTTTTCCTAAAATGTTTTCCCACTGCATTTTCACCCATTTCCGCCCTGGACATTACATTTAATTTTTTTATACCATCGTTTCTGACATTAAATGAAAAATCTGTTGTTTGATTCTCCAAAATCATTGCTCTGGTCTTGGGATTGGGTGCACTGACAGTACAGAGTTCAGTAGTGTGTGCAGATTCTAAAAGTTAATTTATCCCATATTTCGAAGTCATACTGTAAGCAGCTTTACCAAATATGTCTGTTATATGCAAAGTATATACAGTAGAACTGAGTTAAACCGGAAAGTAGCTCTGGAAGATCTAATGGATGTATACAGTTTACTGTTTGTGTAAATTCTGGCGCTCAAAGAAGATAAAACTTTATTTATCCTGACGGAATTGTGATTAAGTGATTAGCACTGTCGTCTCACAGCAATGCAGTTGTGGGTCGCTGACTGCTGGGGAGCCTTTCTGTGGCTGTGGAGTTTGTGGCTGGAGCTTTCTGTGTGGAGTTTGCATGTTCTTCCTGTGTCCGGGTAGGTTTCTCCCAGGTGCTCCAGCTTCTTCCCACAAGTCCAAAGACAGGCAGGTTAATTGGTGACTCTAAACTGTAGATGTGAATGTGAGCAGACATTGTTGTTTGTCTCTATGTGTCAGTCAATTCAATTCCTTTCAATTCAATTGAGAAGAGAGAAGGAAAGAGACAGAGTCAAATGTGCACAACAACAGTAGTAACAACTATACTAATAGAAATGACTGACGATGATGATGACGATGACAGCCACAACAATGGGGGAGGATGGACAATAATAATAGTAACTATTAATTAAAGCTGCAAGCAGCATTGAACGGGACCTCGCAGCCGGCGCGCGTCGGGGTGTGCTGCGGCCACGTCACGTGCCGTCGTAACATATAGTGGACCCCTAGAAAATGAGTCTACGTGCGGACCAGCTCAAAATCGCAACGCAGCGCTTGCTTCCTGTTGCCAGTAGATGGCACTATCACTATATCTGAATATTGTCATATAGACGTTTATTCATGTCCTCTAAACAGGACACCAGGGCTGTTTTTTTGAAAGTTTGTAGGGGGCACTATCGAGACATTTTGACGCAACCATGTGCGAGACCCAGATGAAATGTAAAATGCTGCCATGTGGGACATGTGCCAAGTTTCATGAGTTGTTGAGCCTGTTTAGCCCCCGCAAAAACGATCAAATGTTAAAACAAGGTGATGCTCGCCGCATCGCTACTGCATCACGGTTCAATAAAAATTCATAAGATTCAAGGGTCTTCTGACTAAATTTCAGCAAGATGTGGTCCGTCTGCTAGGAGAAATACATAAAAGTGCAATAAATTCCACCACAAGGTGGCGCTACAACTTTTACTGAATTCTATCACATAGATGTGTTCAGGGCGGGACTCTTACCAGACAAGTGAAGTTTGGTGCCGATTAGACTATGTACACTAAAGTTCCCGCAAATTCATGTGCGTCCACGTTTGACGCCACACCGTGCCACGCCCTTCAACTCACCACATTTATCAGATATCCTCAACAATATGGTTTGCATTTTCTGACCATATTTTAGCTGGAGTAGAACATGAAAGTATAAAACGTTATATTTTCTGTTGCCAGTAGGGGGCGCTATGACTATATCTGAATATTGGCATGTAGATGTGTTCAGGGCGGGACTCTTATCAGACATGTGAAGTTTCGATGAGATCGGATCATGTACGCTGAAGTTATGACAACTTAATTTTTCATGGCAAGTCCTTGAAATTGGACGCCACATCACGGGCAAGTGGTTTGACGAACAGTCATAAATAGCACGACTTTTAATCGTGATGGTGTTTACATCTTGCTGACTACAAATTTGAAGTCGAGCTGATAAATTCCCTGGGAGATGTTTGTTAAAATACAAAGCCAAAAATCGCCAGAAATGACAGCTAAATCCAAAATGGCCGACTTCCTGTTTGGTTTGGGATATGGCGCCCACTGGCTTTTTTGTGCGGCAGGATAAGAACTATCCAATTTTTATGCATATCGGTCAAAGGGCCCGGGGTGGTACAGTGTATGGGCCCCTGAGGGGCCATTTTGCCATGCTCATAGTGGACCCCTAGAAAATGAGACATTTTTCGCCACGAATGACATGTGCGCCGCGTTTCATGAGTTTTCAAGCATGGGAAAGCTTCCAAATATGCGTTCGTTTGGGAGGAATAATAATAATTCCTTCAATTACGATAGGGCCTTCGCACGGTCAGTGCTCGGGTCCTAATAATATCAGTAATATTAGCAATGGGAGTCAAGCAGGACCATGGCAGGAGGCTCCACCAGGATCCATGAGAACCTGCGAGACGAGAAAGCACAAAAACTCCGGGGAAGAAGTGAAGTTAGTAACATGCATTAATGGGACATGAATGAGTGCAGAAAGATAGGGAGATTAAGGAAGGAGCTCAGTGCATCATGGGAAATCCCGCCGGCAGTCATGTTATGAACCGGCAACCTGTCCCAATGTCAGCTGGGATCAGTTTCAGCCCTCTGCAAACTTGCGAAGGATAAGTAGTTAAAGATAATGGACTGAAAATGGATGGAAATCGTTGTGCAGCAATTGCAGTAAAAAGTAGTAAATAATGCAAATATAGACAGTTGTTAAAATAGAAAAAATAGATAAAATATCACAATGGCAATAAATATTACATGTTACCAGTAAGGATCAAAACAAGACCTCTATATATCTGGGCTGTATGGTCAGCAGTAGTCTCTATTATGTTAGTTCCTGGATATTAAATGTTCATCTGCAATTTTCGGTGGTGTGCTCTTAAGGCTTAAAGTTATTTCTTTGTGATAGCACAGAACTAATAAAATAAAGGAAATAAAGGTCTGCACAACAGCATCAGCAAAATACGATTATTTATTTTCCATACATAAATCATATTCATTCAACTTAGTTTTACTCCATATTTTTCCCGTGGTTATCATGCCCCCCCTGCAGTGCTCTATGCCTCACCTGTTGCGCTGCCCCATAGTTTGGGAACGTTTGGACTAGCAAGAGCTGATGAGTAACAATAAATTGGGGTGTAATATGCCAAAAAAACTGTCTCCATTCAGTAGTTTGTCCACCATAGAGCACTGACAAGTTGTAAAATGCCCCACTCTACATCACTCATTCCCAGAGACTGGGAATGTGTGGGGGATTTTATTTATGTCCCAATTAAATCAGAAATCAGAATTTCTTCCTCCTGTTAAATACACATATTTTTTCCTCCTGCTTAATGCATTCAAATTGTCTTGTTTATAAATAAAGACTGTAAGAAGGAGATAAGGTCTCCAAATTACCAATACTGTAAGTAAAAAATGAAAGCCTGTTACTAAAAGCATTTATTTTGTCTCATTTATAAAGCACTTAAAATGTGTATTATTTTACTGGGGATGAAGTTGTGATTTATCAAACATGTATCTCTTCAAAATGGCTGCTTTAAATATGCCCTGTTGCAGAAATAGCAGTAAAACTGCTCTGGAACATTCATTTATGCACAAATATTCTCCGTCTCATTTTTAATTGGGTCACCATGGTGTGTCATTTTTAAAAAAAGAAAAAAAGTTTGGGGAACACTGTTCTACATATCTTGGTCACAGTGCTTTAATAACCTTTGAGAGATACTTACACAAAAGCTTATGTTATGTGTTTATATTGTAAATTTGCCAATGTATTATTGGATGTTCAATAGATGTTTATCCCAAGCAAGCATGGTAAAGCTTTAGACTAGTTTATGTGTGTCTTAACTCTTGTTCCTAATGAGAAAGAAAGGGTATGGTTTATTAACAGTGGCATGCTCAGTGCTGGACATGTAGAACTCTTTCATTACCAAGAATTACCTTTTGAATAACTCTTCATTTAATGTTCCGTTAATTCCTGTCAGTGAGCTGCACATCCTTTCCCCTTTTTTCCAAGCATGCAAGGCGATTGTGGATGAACTGAACTACTCAATCAGTCAGGTGGACCCAAAGAAAACCATCAACGTTGGCAGCTTTAGACTCAACCCTGATGGAACCATGGAGGACAAAAAGGTAAAGATGTTCTTACCTTACCACCCATCTGTCTGCAATGTGTTTAAGTATATGCTCATCCACTGTTTGGTTGTTGGTTCATAGAGAAGTAGCCCTTGGCTAGCTTCTGTTCCACATGAACTCCCATGAGGCTAGAATGCTCTGCCACAACAGGACCCAATACAGGAGCCCCTAAGGATAAAACACATACAAGAAAGAAAATAACAACAAAGGGAAGAACACACTACATATCCACAACTGCTGCAAATACCAAAAAATAATAATGTGCAGCAAGAGAAAGAAAGAGTGGTCAGAATGACATACGTGGTTTATACTATGTTAGCATACAGTAGATCTTTGGTTTGGTTTCTAGCCTTATGGTAGCATTGCTTTTCAGTGCATTTGGTACAGATATAGATCAACTCTTCTTTTACCATGTGTTTATCTACTACATATCTCGTTAGTTATTCAATACATTGATATACAGTGACGGCTGGTGGAGATTTTGGGTGGGGGGGCTAACAAATGCATTACACTCATCAATACGTCACACAGCAGCAAAAGTAGCAACAACATTGTATACTTTGTTATAGCAAGTGCTCTACGCAACACTGGGGAGACATACCCAAAAGAATGACCTGATGCCAAAACAAAATCTCTCTCTCTCTCTCTCTCTCTCTCTCTCTCTCTCTCTCTCTCTCTCTCTCTCTCTCCTCTGTACACATCAGCACATGTCAATTGCGCTACAACTACATTATAGAAAAGTACCAGCAACAATTTGCACCATGTACCAGAAATAAATCTATAAAACCAAAGCAAAAATAATTATTTGTAGAAGAGAGAGTTGTTTCAGAGCTTGGGCATACCTTATTTAAAACGCCGCTCACATCGATGGCCTTTCTGTGATGCAAACAGGTTAATCACCATGTCAAACTCCACAGTGCTGTACCTCACCATCAGCTCACCTTTCAGTTTCTCCCTGCAGATCATTGAGTAATGTGCACATGCAAAGACAACAAGTGCCTTGCTTTCTCAAAGCGCACTGTGCGGCTACTGACACATTATCAGCATCCTGCGCGGCGTTACAGTGGCTGCAGCTGTGTCCGCATCTGGATGTGGCTGATTGTCATCTGTGGTCAGCAGTTCAGATATGAAGCAGGAAAAATTCTCCAGGCCCTGTCTCGTTTTGAGTCTGTGGTGATAGACGTGTACTTTGCAACCTGTGTGTTTGACAGGTGATTGGCTAATTGACTGTCTAAAAAAGAGAACTGGTCCCCGCTGGAGTGAATTAAGATTAATCGGACCCCCGCAGGGCAAGCTTGTGTCCCCACAAAATGTAATACAGTCCACAATCCGTGATAGTGAAAGCCTGTTTTTCTTTACCAGCTCCTTGTGTCTCTGTACAGGATGCGGTGACCCTCATTAAGCTGTCAGGCGATGTTCACTTTACCCAGCGATGGCAACTTTTGTACTCATTGTACTGTAGCTACTGCGCTGTGATTGGTCGACGGTCAGCCTTTGGGCTGAATGAATTTAGCTCAAATGGGCAGCATATGAAGGGGGCGTGTCATGACACCTGTCAATCAAAAGTGAATGGAAGCTTACGCTACTGTGCTTGGGCTGAATACATTTAGCCCATTCACAGGAAAAAAACCAAGCTAAATCATATATCCGGGGTTTTTTCTGTCACTGTTAAGTGTTGTTGCTGCTCTAGGTTCTACCAAAATTCAAAACAATATGTTCTAAGGTTTTTAATAATAGTTTTTCATCTTTACTGTAAAAGGTAGGGGGGACTTAGCCCTGTTAGCCCATATATACCAGCCGTCCCTGTTGATATATTGAATTAGTTTTTTTGGTAACATAACACTATAACACTATAGCAGTGTGACTGGTAATATTTTGCCATGGCAGGTTGCCACAGCAAAATAATTTTGCAATATACTGGGTTTGTTACTCTACCTGTGTTACAAACTGTGTGGAGTTTGAAAGATATCTGGTGTTGCTGTGGCTGTATGTGTGCAAGGCTGTGTGAGCACAGGTTATTGTTTCTGGTCTAATGAGGTCACGTCCCGCTGGAACCTGGTCATCCTCTATTGCCCAGGGAGCAGGCTATCATGAGATTTCCAGCCCTGCTATTGATTTCCTGGCTTTAATCCCAGTTTAGAGTGCCACTGATAGCTGAACTGATAGGTGTGTGCAAGCAAGACTAAAGGATTGAATAGAAGGTCAGTCTACAGGTTTATCTCAATAACTGCTGTTTGGTAGAGTTGGGACACTGACTCACTCCGTACAACCCTACTTGGCAAGTTCACCACATGGACATATCAAGAAGAACTGGTTACAGCTTTGGGGGCGAGGTCTGTTCATTTCTATGGAAATTGTTCAGTGGGCATGAAGCCAAAAGAGTTAAACAAATTACATTATTACCTCATGATGTGGAGACTTCTACCAGCTGAGCTGTTAACTTCTGGTTTAGCCTGCTGGAAATAAAATGCTTTAATTTTGCAGGGGTGTTGAAGCAGAAAACAATTGTCTCCACTGTGTTTCACAATGTAAGTTTATGGGGAAAGTATTTTTGGGCCAGTGTGCAGCCCGTGACGAACGCCATTGCTGTAAGTACACTGCCTGGCCACAGTGTCAAATTGGCTACAAAGCCTGGTCGCTCTTCCTGAGGGCTTGCTTCACCATCATCAGTTTTCTAGACAACAACAACCAGCTAACACATTGACAAGTTGCATAGCATGTAGCTGTCACTGCATGCTGCTCAAAACACCTAACAACCCACTCAACTAAATAATCATCCTCAGCTACCTCACCTTAGCAAGCAACAAAGCATACACTTCTGTAAGGCTGCAACTGCTGATTATGTTCATTATCGATCTTTCATTCATGTAATTTTCTAGATAAATTGATTAGTTGTTTGGTCCATAAAATCTTCCCAAAAGCCCAAGGTGACCTCCTCAAATCCACAAATGTCTTGTGTTTTCCACAACCGAAAACTTTTCAGTTTACTGTCATAGAGGACTGAAGAAAACAGAAAATATTAAATTGTTATTACTGCCTTAGCCACTAAATAAACTAGTCAACAAACAACATGTTAAGCTAACTGGCACGCTAACCTATCAAATACAATTCCCTTTGGTTTTGGGAGGGTTGAAGGGTAAATGACACCAACAAACAGCCAAAACTCCACACGGCATAAAGATGTCCCACTTATCTCTCTATGACAACTGTATCAGACACAGTTGACCTCCAGCCCTTATGTTAGAATTATTGTTAGTGCCCATGATGGATGCTGCATTTATGTGATCCAGATAGAAGATCCAAGTATCCTTCATGGTGCTGTTAATGTTGCTATCTGTGTCATTCTTTGCTTCGCAATAAGCAGTTGTCTAAAGGTGGATTCATTTAGATATAAATGCTAATTACTCTTACTGTGCCCCCTGTGGGTCCTGCTTGCATTTCATTTAGATTGCCCCCTAGCTCTCTCTCTCTCTCTCTCTCTCTCTCTCTCTCTCTCTCTCTCTCTCTGTGTGTGTGTGTGTGTGTGTGTGTGTGTGTGTGTGTGTGTGTGTGTGTGTGTGTGTGTGTGTGTGTGTGTGTGTGTGTGTGTGTGTGTGTGTGTGTGTGAGAGAGAGAGAGAGATTTTTAAAGAAAAGGCTGTATGTTTGCAGTAAACTCATACACTAACATACTGCTACATACTGCTTGACACTTATGTAATGATATACAGACTGCTCTATGGGGCAAATGTCAGAACAGCTAATAAGTGCTGCAGCTAATGATTATTTTCACTATTGATGATCCTGTCGATTATTTCCTCGATTGGTTGATTCGTTTTTTTAATGTCAGAAAATGGGGAAAAATGTTGGTCACTGTTTCCCAAAGTCCAAGGTAACATCCTCAAATGACTTGTTGTGTCCACGGCCCAAAGATATTCTGTTTACTGTAGACCTGGAGCAGTGGTTCTCAGCCTGGAGGACGCAAGATACTTCCCAAATGGTTGTGGAGAATAGAAAGGACTTATTGTGGCAAGCAGCGTAGAATGAGAGACAGTAAGCAGCTATCAGTGATTTCATTACTTTAATGACATATTTGCTTACATTATCGCAATGTATTACAATATATTTCATCGTAACCCCCCTAACCTGACACGTATTGGTGCAGTGTGTAATATTTAGGAGGATCTATTGTCAGAAATGGACTGTATTATTCAGAGGTATCAATTCATTAGTGTATAATCACCTGAAAATAAGAACCATTGTGTTGTTATTACCTTAGGTAGAGATGTTTTTATCTACAGAGGGAGTGGGTCCTTTTCTAGGGAGGCATGTTGAACCACCATGTTTCTACAGTTTGTGTATTTGCGGTCACTGTTGTTTCTCCTACACATTTGTAAGGCGTATAGTATTGAGTTGGTTGCAATATTCAACTTTACCACTAGATGTCGCTAAATCCTACACACTTGACCTTTAAATGTGTAAAGTCAGTTCTGGAACCAAATATACAAGAACAAATATTAATTTATGTATGCCCTTAATTACAGTCTTTCTAGAGCCCCCATTTTAATGTTGTTTTTTAATATAAGAATTACTCATGGTTGTGCAACTTGGCAACTTAACCCTGTTTTTCCTTCAGACTTTTCCAGAAAAATGTATTTCTTCATATTGGTCTAAAATATTTTCTCCAACTCCCTGTTGGACAGACATCCTGATTTATTCCTCTAACAGTGAAACTTTCATCATGCATCAGTACAACCCAGATCAGTTTCTTTGTGTTATCATGTTATAGTCACCAGGCCAGGATAGTATGGTTCCTCCAGAGATGAGCTCCTCCTTTGCCCTTAGCTGACACTAACCTCCACCTGTTGCATTGTTTGGTCAATCAAATGTTACTGAGCCACAGAAGAAGCCAAACCTTGATCCCATGCCCTCCCAGCTCCCTCCTTTTCAGCAGCTTTTGACCTGGTGTGAATCGGAGAGGGAGGGATGTCACAGCTTAGATGCCATCAGTGAGGAGGA